AAAAGCCTATGTTATGGGCATGAACACTATTTACTCAATAAAAACTTGAAAAAAATATATTTTATAATCAGAGAAAGTAATTATGTTTGGATTTGTTTTTATCAATATAGTTTACTGAATATATTAATGACAATGCAATTGATATTTTACACCAAAAGTTCAATCGCTAAAAATGCGAATTTGAAAGAATATTTGAATATAGTGTAAAACATAGACCTTTTGATTCAAACATTATTTACGCAATTTTACATTATAACCATCATTTAAAAAATACTATATTATGTTAAATTAGTATCTAATAATAAGGAGTGAAATAATTAATGTATGGGTGATGTAACTGAGACGTTTTGTTTGTTGATATGTGGTGTCATAGTTTCTTGTTGTAGTTTGTTTCCCTGTGTTATAATTTTTTACTTTTCACTTGTAGCTGCATCAAACTATTCTCCATTTATTGGCGGGGTTCGGACGTGTATCATCATTAAGACGCGCGCTGCAAAAATCAAGCATTAAAGTTAATGGGAGAGACGACGTAAGTACAGTGTAATAAAACAACACTTTTATTAATTGTAAACAAATTAACATCATTGAATTCACAACATATTTTGTTATCACATTCTATTTATTAATATTGTTGTATATTTTAGTTGAAAAATAATAATGTTCCGTTCAGTATTATCATCATCATAAAATATTGTCGTGATTATTGAAATGAATTCACAAACACTAATTACCATGAATAGTATCCATCATCATAATTTGTTTAATTAATATTCTATTTTATATTATCATTATCATGTTTATAATGATTACAATGAGAAATAATTAAGTACGATAAATAATTATTTCAGCTGTTTTACGTCGACGTATTATTTGTAAATTTTATATTCTTGTGTTGTGTCTGTACTTAACAACAAACTTGACATTGATTATCCTTTCATTGCAGGATGGACGCACACCACTACATGAATGTTTAGATAATGAGTACTGCAGTTATGAAGAACACCGCGAAATGGCAATGTGCCTCATGGAACACGGCGCATTACTAATAAAAGAGAACGTAATGTACATATACAAATAAGAATGCATCATCAAAATGATACCAGTCAATGGCTTTAATACAACAACTGTATATCAGGAGGCACTACTACTAGAAAGATTTCATGTGTCTAAAACAAACATGAGAAATTTCAAATCTAAAAAAAAAATAAAGTAATACCGGTACCCTACAAATATTTTTTTTTTAAATTATTTTGTACCAATAAATTTAGTGATAACAAATTATCGTAAAATTATCTTGATGCTAATAGTGTTGCTGTATACTTTGAAAATATTATTTTGCTATATTTTATGAATATTATTATTAAATTAAAATGTATTTATTAATTTTGATTTGGATTCTTTACACTAATTGGAATATTTAATAATTCTTCTCATAATATTTAATTTGAAACTGTTATCGAAATAAATACAACTTTTGTGTACTCGTGTCTGTTATTACAGAAAGGAAAGACGCCTCTTGATTTTTATGATAAGAATAAATGTGGTAAATACGGCGGTCGATCGATCAGACGAGAGAAGAAGGAAAAACTGAAAAAGTTACTTTTAGGTAAATTGACGAACTCATTGTATATTTGAGAATTTAATCATCTGCGGTATATTATAGTCTGTACATGAACGCCTAATAAATATACTCAAGTTTTAAATTCTGATTTTGAAAAAGGCTACATAGGGCCTACACAGTGGCATTTTTCCAATATTTTTTTATCTATATTATTATGACAACGCTATTTAGAGTAAATATTTAAAAGATTTATTTAATTTTGGTTTTTAAAGTTAATGTAATATACCAGTACTTGAAACAGACATATTCTTATTTTAAGACATGACACTTCCTGCACAAATTAAAGCCAGAGGAAAAGATGCAGTTACTGCATTCGTCAATGAAATTGAAAAAGGTGAAATGACGTTGGTAAATAGCAGAGTGATGTTTCTAGGAAAGGAAGGGGCTGGTAAAACCAGCCTTGTAAATTCCATCCTTGGAAAACAGTAAGTGAAATTGAAGCCTTATTTTATCTATTTAAATAGAAAGGACAGCTTGGTGTTACATATATCTCAACGTTATGGAAAGGAAGCTGACTAGTTCAAGCAATTTTAAATTACTCTATTTCAACAATTCTAACTAAAATTATGTGCACTTTTAATAATCTTTGTTTGTAAATCATCTTTTCATGACTGCTTTCAAAGATAATGTCACTTTATCGTTTCAACAAAGATACTAGAAATACAAGATAGAGTTCTCCACACAAAAAAAGTGTTCCACCGTGTTCCACCGAAATGCATGGTGGGAATACGAAAAATGTGACGCCCCCTACAGCTGGATCTAAAAAAACTTGTGCCAAACTTTCGTTACCAAGTCGTCGCGTATTTTATTATCAATTCTTAACAAAGATACTAGATATAAAAACAAACTGGAATAAACACCCAGACAGTGACATCGGTGAATACATAATCTCCTTGGTGGCGGTAGAAATCGTTGCTATTATCCAAATAATACACAAAAAAATTAAAGCATAATCATGAATCAGTAAAGAATAAAACAACAATACAGCGCAGAATCGCATGGCCGGACGCACTCTTAGTGAAAAAGTTTTCCGCCATTAGTAGAAAAGGAAGGGCGCCTTTTGCGTCTGGATATACTTAGCAACAGAAGGGCGCCCTGTACGTTGGGCACGAAGTATAGGAAACTTGCGTGGTTAAAAAGAAGGGCGCCGCCTACGTTGGGCACGACTTCCGCCTCATTTTTACAATGCGAGAACTCTATCTTGTATTTCTAGTATCTTTGGTTTCAAGCATGTTATTTTGCGCATGTGTGTGCGTATTGTACGCTCGTTTGTTAAAAAAAGAATGTGTTGCTAGATCAACGATCAACGAAGGTCAAATTCAATTAGGTCATTATAAGCCTCAAAGCAAAGATATCTTTGCTCATACGTAGACTACGAGTAGAAACTGTAATGTAATTTTTCAAACATATCGAGACATTTATTACTAAATTATTAATATAAAATTATCTTAAGCTGTTTTACATAAGTACATACTGTGTATGTAATTATTATGGAACGTAATTCATTATTATTATTTATTATTAGTATCATCATCATCATCATTATTATTATTATTATTATTATTATTATTATTATTTAACATTAATTTATTATTATTACTACTTTAATATTAGCATTATCATTATAACCATTATTTTTTTTTAAACCGCAATTATAGATTCAATGAGAATGAACCATCAACTTGTGGTATTCTAACAACAACAGTATTTCAAACTGTTGGTGTAGACTGCTGCAAGTGGGAGGAACATAAGGATGTAGACGGTATGGATAATAGAATTACCGTAAATATTTAAATAAACACCCTGGGGAATTTATTGAAGGGAGGCGTTTATAATATTTTGGTGGAAAATATGTACGTATATAAACTATAAATAGGTATGCACTAATAAACGTTCTGTAATTTCACAGTAATCCTCATTAATTTAGTATCTGTCTCTTATACACATCTTCACATCATGACCATATACAATGTAATCACATTTAAATTTCATATAAAACAAACACAATAAGATTTTACTAATTTAGACAAATTATTAAAATAAAGTTCTCTAAAGGTTAACTACAGTTTTTTTAGTACAAATTGTAATTAAAATGTGTTATATATTATAAAAACTGTATTGCATAAAAATACTAATCGCTTGGCATTAAGAAATAGTAATAGGTAAAACAAATGACTATGTTAAACGTTTAATATTAAAGTACCATTTCCGGGCATATAAAAGAGTATTTTTAAAATTATTTTTAAGGGCCCCGTCGTCTAACAGGAGAAGGTTTCGTCGTGGAATATTTTTTTTAGTATAAGGTCGGAACTTCGTTTAGGCTAGCTTCCTCATTGAGCTATTTATGTTAATTTTCATCAAGGATACCCTAATAATGCTTGGAAGGTTTCATTGGAATCGTGGAAGCAGTCTCGACTTTGACATTAGGCAATTATGAATTCATATTACAATAATTCATGCCTAATAAAATAGCTAATAAAATTCATAAAAATTGGTAAAATATTCGAAGCTTCTAACAAGCACCTCCCCCGGTCAACAGGCCTAGATGCTCGCTATGCTCGAATGCTGGATTAATTACCCCTCCCCCACTTTCTAAAACGTTCTTCTGACATTAATCCCCTTATTTTTGATTTTGATTATTTTGTAGCGTTGATATTTGGTACTTGATGTTTCCACATTTTCAACTATGCTAGTAATGTTTTATTATAAATAGAATATTTTATCTACATAGGAGTAACTAAAAATAATGATTAAAATAATAATAATTTACCAACTACTATACAATTTTTACAAACTATTTTATTGCAGGAAACATCAGAAGAAGCTACAAGTCTAACTTCAGGGGAAAAAGGTATTTATTATTTAAGAACACTGTTCATCACTTCCCTTATATCATTACAGGGGAATTGGGCTGTCGATAGTTTTTTTTTCCGCTAAGCCTTGTTTGTCTTTACATTGCACGTTGTCTATTTTTCTAATGCCAGCTAAATAAACTTAAACATTTCCCTGACGAGAGCGTAATAAGGTGGTCAGGCATCGCTCAAAAGGGATACAGTGAAAAGCTACCGGGCATGTAAAAGCTATATTGTATTTCCTCCCCGATAAATTGTAATTTTTATTTTCCTCCCTCCCCCTTCCTCTCTAATTTTACCATCTTACGCGCATTTACTTGATAATTAAGCCCTCCCCCACTCAGATTTTCACGTGTCACTTTCATCTTTCTGTCGATAATCCTAGATTTTATAATTCCACATACCTTTCAGTACATTTTAAGCAGTAACATAATATTGCTCATGGTTATCTTATCATCTTTTCTTGCCATTCCTCATAAATTTCATTAAATATGGTCATCATAATCATTCATTTATTATTACATTATCCTCATTAATTTAGTATTGTATTCCATTGTCATCACCATCATCCATCTTCAGACCATCTCTTCTGCTCTCAAAATATATATGAGTTCGAATTTTATTTCCTTTTTTTTTCAGAAACTTCTGATGTGTCTCAGAGTGCTGCAAATGTATCGACTAGACAGTTCGATAGACTCCCAGAAGAAATTTTAAAAAAAGTTGTAGCTAATCTTGACCGCCAGAATCCTGAACGAAGCAGGAGCGCAGAAGAACCAGAACCCGGCATTTTTAAACGATTCTTCATGAAAATAACGAGAAACAAGCCTACTAACAAAGATGCACGCTTTGAACGTGTTGTTGAAAATGTACCTAGTGATGTAACATGTATATGGGATTATGCAGGCCAAATCTCATATTATATAACTCATAGGGTAAGCAGCATAAAACTTTACTGATTATAGTGTACAAGGCTACATTCTAATATTATTGTAATTGTCACTGGATATTAGATTATCTGTATCAGAAATAGATTTTTTTCTTTCAAATGTGATGTTATAATAAACGCGATTAAATAATAATAAAGAAAAATTGGTCGTCTGAAAAGTTTAATGTCAACCATATGACTATAGCCAATCACATACTGTTCAATATTTTGAGAATTCTGGAGGTGCTTAAATTATATTTTTATTAAAGTTTAAAGCCAATTATCATTAGGCCTATAGCCACTAACGTAGTGTTCACTCGGGAGTTCGTGGATGTTTAAATATATTAATGTTTGTTGCACCACTACAATGAAGCAAAAAATTAAAAATATGATAAATAGCCTACAGCAACATTACTTATTCACATCAACATGTATTAAAATAATAAGTACATAAATCTACAATGAAGAGTAAATTGGAAAATATTATTTAGATACGGTAAAATTATTAAACAAAAGAAAATACGCTAATGCCATAGAAACTTACAAACAGAGAAAAATATTTAATCATGGAACGAACAAAGCCAAGGATAACCCATATGACTACTTTCATTTGTGTCCTTAAAATTATTGATAATACAATACCGATCGTGCTGATAATAGTTGATATAATGACGCATATCTACTCAACAACACTAATATAGTTTACGCACTTAAACCAAGAACTTTCAAAATACAGTAAGCCTTGATTTAATTTTCTTTTAATGATCAGTTAACATTTAGGTGATGTTTAATTTTACTTTATGTTTAATATTTTTCCATTAATCGATCATGTGTTTACGTACTTATTTTTTCCTTTCCAGTTTTTCTTGACAGATGGATCGTCATATGTCGTTGCTTTTAGTTTGTTTGAGCCTTTAAATGAATTGGCAAAATCAAGAGGTCCACTAAAAGTAAATAAATCATTTCACCTTTTCTACTATGCAATAAAAGAGAATTAGTTTCCATTAACTTATTACATATCATATCTGTTTTTTGTATATTAACTATGTTCTTATATTTTGTATAGATAGTTTGAGTAACTTTGTAATTTAATAGTCTTATTTATGACACTCATTTTATTTTCTCTCTTTACTCTTCCTTATTCCTTTCTTTTTTTTTATCAGGATCTGTTTGAAATGACTAATCTCCAAATGATTATTTTCTGGATACGGTCAATATATGAGCACGCTGTACTACAATATAATGCAATTACGAAATTGATAAATGACACTATAGCTTCACCCACAATCAGTTTGGTTGGCACTCACAAAGACAAGTTAGAGGGAAGTGAGGAGAATAAACAGAATCAGGTAAGATATTACATCGCAGTTTTAGACATAAGTATAGTCGAATTTTGTGTAATGTAAAAATTTTTAAAAATTGTTAATACATAACGTGATAAATTTAATCTCTACGTAAACAAAGTATTAACAAATATTCCACATGGTCCTAAAAGTATGTATATCAGTGGCCTTGCTAATACTAATACTGTATTGTAGTTATTTAACACTAGATTTTTAAGTAAATATTTTATTGAAAATTTCTTTTACAAGAATTTGCCTTTTTGAATATGGCCATGACGACAATGACGGTGATGTTGGTGATAATGATGACAAAATTCAAAATTAGAAAAACTGCAAAAAACACCCAAAAAAACGAAACCTTGCATGCATTTGACTAAGTGTTTAGGATGATCTTCACCACTGGAATATATTTATTATTGTTTTTTTTAGATTTATATTTCCAACATAACATAATACATCAAACGACAATTAAATAACATGACGAGAAGAAAAGAAAAAAAAAAACTGCGTCACTTCACCCAGCAGGACACTAAGTAATGGAGCATCATTAAACAGAGGCAGGGGGAGAAAATACTTTCTCCAGTCCACCGGAACATCGACAGAGCATGTAGCATCCAGTCCCAATCCTCTAACAGACAGGAATAGACTTCCACATGCCGACCCGTCCGTTGAGTATCTTCACCGGACGAGTCAACAATACGTCTTCAACGGAAAATAGTTATGATTTACGGCGGTAGGCTTGGCCACCTGGGCTTCAAGTTTTCCTCCCAGTCTGAAGCTATTTTTATGGCCCTCCACCCAAAAGTAAATCTTTATTTACCCCCATGTCCATCATTGAAATCCACTTTTATTTTATTTAAAGTTTACCAAATGTTATCATCACCCACCCTTAAAATTTATTTTATTTTCCCATAGCGACTAAATCATTGTCCTCTTAAATAGGTGGCAATCCCTTTATCATGACAAACATAAACACATGGTGCTTTATAAACTCATAATCAGACTTATGGAGTTTTTTTTTAATCGTGAGTGAAATATCCTGGGATCCTACAGGATTTAAACAATGACCTTGAGATTGGAAGGTGAGCATCCAATCTATTCAACTCCAAACGCTTTCAGGACAATTTCTACACCGTACACACAGTTTTCTACAACTACTACCATGCCTTCCAGAATTCTGCACTACAAAGTAAAAGAACAGTAAACGGGCTATAAGTAATCCGTTGTTAGGAAGTTCCCCACTCTAAGTCATTGAATCCCAATTTTGGGTGATCTAATGTGCTTTGTTTTTGTAAATTTCAATGTATGAAAACACAGGTAAAATGAAATTATATGAAATTGTACTATTTAATTTTATTCAAAGATTGAAGCAATATTCAAAATAATATTTGAAGAAATCAAAGGGATGCCTTTCGAACTTCACGTTGACAGAACGATGTATGCTGTGGATAATACATCAGCAAATGACAAAGGGATTGAAGAATTAAAAAAAAATCTCGGAGGTTACACAAAGCAAATGGCAAAAAAAGTTCCCACAAAATGGGTTGATTTCCAGTCGAAAATCCAAGAAGTCGGGAAAACAACACTGCACATGTCCTTAGACGAGGTACCATTTTGTCGTATTTTTCCTAAATTTCCTCAGCCTCATAAACATTCTATAAAATTGTGGAAAAATATTATAGAATTAATTATAATAAATGTGATTATTATTATTATTATTATTATTATTATTATTATTATTATTATTTGTGTAGTAGCAGACAGCAAATGCATCTTAAGAATACCACAATAATTTTCAACCTCAATACCATATAGGCAAATCCTAATGAATTTTATTATCAAAACTCGGTATACTATAAAACAGATATGTTTCGGCAAATCCTTCGCCATCTTCAGTGAAACGATTGCTAACATGCAATCTACTATTTAAAGGGAGTGAACAACTGTGAAGCATTGTATTATTAATTATTTTTATTATTTCTATATTAAGGTTAGATGTAATAACATTTCAATTATACATTATAATATTATAATTATACTTATAAACAACTATTAGAGTGTTTCTAATATTTTATTCAATATTTTTTTTAGGTCAATGAGATTGCTGTCGATTGTGGAATTCCGAACGAAAACACCATCCACATTCTCAACTATTTAAATGATTGCGGAATCATTATGTATTCGCCAACTAACATGAAGTTGAAGAACACTGTGATTACTAACGTCCACATGTTGATTGAAATCTTCACGAAAGTAATCACAACAGAAGATCAGGTACTATTAACAATCAAGTAAACTGGCGTGCGGGATAGACCATACACATTTTAACATATAGTATACCAAATCCGAAATAATAAGAGTACATTAATGACCATTTTCGAATTGCACACCTGACCTGTTCTAGAATACATGCTAAATGTGCTTTATAATTAAAGAAAAGATGGTATTTAAAATCCTCTACACACTTTTATTAATAAGATTATGTTTTTGTTGATTTTATTTTTATTTAGAGACCCGCAATGATGAAGTTATGGCATCTGCTTGATAAAGGAATTCTGAGTGAGACATTGCTACGTCATCTGTGGAAACATGAGTTGGAGGAAGACGCTAGCAGCTTTGACATTTTTGTCGAATTGATGAAGGTTTTTGGACTGCTCTTTGAGAAGCAAACGGTAATTCAATGCCTCTACTTATCATGTACTGTATATATACTGTCTCTTATACACATCTAGATGTGTATAAGAGATTATATGATCTGTCTCTTATACACATCTAGATGTGTATAAGAGACAGGCATGGAGGTAAACACAACAGCTAAATGTTTGACTTAAGTCTTGCTCGCTAAAAATTCGTTATATTGTGGCATTTCGGTACACAATATAAGCATAGAGAAAATAGAACAACTGTTAGAATACTGTCCCACAATCATAGTTCATCCTCTAATATTTTGAAATTAATACTAATAATATTTACAGTAACATTTTGAAGGCGTTTTGCATCAGGAAAACCATTAAGAATAATGTTTTGCAGAACCTAATAATTATTTTATCTTACTGTAGACTATAATATGAACTCATATGAGGAAAAGTAGAATTTACATGTAACAAAACAATAGCAATACCACTGTTATTTACAGTAAATAGGAACTGCCGTGTGCCACAAAATAAAGATTCACTTTGAACAAAACACTTCCATGCTATTGTTAATTGGAACAAAACAATTGAAAATAAGACATGATTTAAAAATAATAATATATTGTTATTTAGGTATTAAACTACCTGGAGCATCAACTGAAGACTGTTTATGGTACAACAGAAGGGATCGGCTACAAGTTACGCGTCTTGTGCAGCGTATGTCAACCAACACAGCAACCTCATCTGCATGATCTTGAGGATTGTCTGAAAAAAGATAAAGTTTCGTGTGGAGATTTGTCAATGAAGACTTTTCGTTTCAAAAGACTTTTTTTAACAGGTTAGTGACGAAATGTGTGTTTAGGTTTTTCATAATCCGTTGTATGTGTGTCGCAATCTACATAGTTTTTATTTCATAGTAAACAAAGTAAACTCACGGGTCCTAGTTGATTTCCCGGAATATTATGGCTAGGTCACTGTAATTCCAATACTGTAGTAGCCACAGCACAGGACGTGCAAATCGGCGCCACATTCGACATAGTAACGGCGGCTAAACAATTGCGCTATATGCCGAACATTCCACGTTTGTCAAGAGAATGTACATTGGTTTCAAGTAAACAGTAGCATATTTTGTGTTAGTGTTCCCTCATTGTAAAGCTGTAAAGGTAGGAGAATAATTCATAACTTGCAGCGTCATTATGTTAAATTTGCATAAATCCTCTCGACGTGATTCATTTCAAGCGGCTGTTCTTCCATATAGTTCTTCTGCAGCAATGTTTCGTTAAATTTTGAGCTCACGGATTTGAGATTAGATTTGTCTTATATCATACTAAGAGTCTCTCTCGTCTGTCATTCCTATGTCTATATTAAACAAAACAAAACAAAAATAAAATGATCAGATATTGTAAAATGAATGAACAGTAATATGAAATGCATAATCTTTATGTACTTGTAGATATTCCGGATAAATCCTTGTCTATGGATCCACCTCATAGTCCCGTGTTCACAGATTCCACACACAGAGAGCAGATGTCAGGTAAATCGGTTGATATAATAATCATAGTTTTAAAAGAGAACAGACTGTTATCACGTCTGTCCTTTATTTTAATTGCAAAATACGCAGAAAATAAAGTGGCTTATTCGTAATACTCCTTGCGAAAATTACAGCATAAAACAAGGATTCGTTGATGGGGGAGCTCTTCCGTCGGGGAGAGCGGGTACCCCTCCTGATTGCCCCTGACGAGGAGAACAAGTACAATTCGTCGATAAGTTTAAAAAAAAAGAAGTAGGCCTATTTTTTTACAAATTAGTAGACTCTAAAATCGAGTAAATAAGCCTTTGAAACCCCTAAATTGTCATATTTTTGGAGAGATTCACCCTCCCCCATCCCCGGATGGCTTCTCAAACATTTTTAACAACGCCTGACCACGCCTACTTTGCTCTCGTTGGGGGCACCCAAATATTTTGAGATATTTAATTTATTACACCATGGATCTTCAATTTCTGTGTTTCCTCTGTCTATATTAACAAAAACGTATGTTGAACAATAGGCCTATCTTTATTCATTTTATCTCTTCATTGAATTTATTCAATATAAAAAAAGAAACCCAATTATTATGCATAATATTTAGAACTAAACGATAATAAGAAGAGTGAAACAGAAAGCTACTAAAGATAACCTTAAAGAGGAAAATAAAAATACATCTTGTATTTACATTGAAACAACATTAACCAAACGAAAAATATGTAGGCCAATCTGACCATCATTAAACATACTTAATATATTAAACTGTGAGCACCGATCATTGTTCATTTGGGTTGTTGATGTTGGCTAGCTGGCTGGATGTTCCTCGCTGTCCTACTGGTGTTTCAGACGTCATTCATTTCGAGCGGGTGTTCAACCATATCGCCTAAACAGTAGGTCTGTTTTGCTGTTAACACATCATTCCATTCTGAACTTCATAGATTTGAGATTAGTTTATCACATTATGGGTCTACTTGTCTATTATTCATCTGTCTATATTAAAAAAAACAAATAAAACTTACATCTACACTTATTTTTGAAATAAATGAGTAACAATCTATGTGAAATGCATATTATTTATATACTTGTAGATGTTCAAGATAAATCCTTGTCTACGGATCAAGTTCGTAGGCCTGTGTTAACAGATTCCACACATGGAGAGCGAATGCCAGGTAAATCGGTTGATGTTGTAATTGTAAAATAGCGGGCAACATTGTAATAGATGACTTTGCTCGTAATTATTCTCGCGATTATTGCAGCATAAATTAAGGAATGTGTTGACTTGTGTACCTCAAAAAACTTAATCACAATGTAGCAATCAACAATTCCATTTTTTCAGCTAAATATTAAAATATTAGTAAAATATTAAGAGAAATACACCAAGTAAGCCTACTGTGTTGTGGAATTTAACCGGGGACAAAATGATCACAAGTCCAACTGGGCCATTCGTGTTAATATACACCCTATGCATGTGTATTGACTTGCCCACTTATTTCGTAGCACAGCTTGATTAAGAATGTCAACAATTGGTTGGTTTGTATAATATTACTCCTAGCCTATTTTTGGGCTAAATCTTTATTTCTATCACATCATTTTTAATAAGAAATAAAAAAAGTTTTACATAGAAGGGTTAGGGCACCATAGTGGCGCCATGTTTTGCGCGGCGTGCGAAGCCCTTGTCCACCCCAGAAAAACAGGTTATATGATTGTAATTATTATTAGTAAAAATGTTACTCTTACCCAAACTTACTGTTTTATGTAAAATGTACTGTATAAAGGATCTTTAAAATTCATATTTAAAAAAAACCAAAAAAACAGATGGGAATGAAATTATTGGTTTTCATTGTTTATTTAAAGTAGGCGAATATTGTGTTTAGCGGAGACGCTGTTTAAATCCATTTTGGCAATTCTGAAGGTAATTAGTATGTATGTAAAAATGTACATTAATAATAATAATAATAATAATAATAATAATAATAATAATAGTAATAATTTCTTATGTTGTTTTTATAGAAATGTCAGGTATGCAGTTTAATGCTTTTAAAATGGTTGTCTCAAACTGGTTCGATGAAAACAGATGTCTTAGTATGTTGAAAGTGTTGTTCAGAGGTATGGTGGACAATGTGAAACTAGCAGAAATAAATAATACGATAGACTTGCTGAATGAAGTGGCTGTACATGGTAAGATGAGTGCAGAGGATCCTTCTCTACTGTATGACACCATCAGAATAACTGGACATTTTGCTCTTCAAAAGAAGATCCAAGAAACACTGCCATCATTCCCGGATGTTAAAGAAGGAACCATTTCAACAAGTTTCATTCCACACAGACAAAAACTAATGAAATTGGGGAAGACTTTAACTGCAGATAACGTGACGCAGATCGACGGATTGTATAATACACCTCGTAAGATGTATACCGACAGTTGGAGTATGATCACGGATCTAGAAGACAGACTGGAAATCAGCGAAGGAAATATGACGGTTTTCATGAATTCTTTGATACTGCTTAAGCTTCCTCTGGCATTGACCGCATTGACAGAAGGTATGTCGGCCATTCTCTTCACTTAAATGTCGACTCGTGAAATACCTTTAAGTTGTAATTATTAATCACACATATTTATATCTTTATGGACTACTACTATTAATAGATTATATATTTATATAATTATTTATATATTATATATATATATATAAGTTGTATTTATTAATCTCACATATTTCTATATTTATGGAATATTACTATTAATAGATTATATATTTATATAATTATTTATATATTATATATATATATATATAAGTTGTATATATAAGTTGTATCTATTAATCTCACATATTTCTATATTTATGGAATACTACTATTTATAGATTATATATTTATATATTTATATAATTATATATAGATATATATTTATATATATATATATATACATGACTCCTAAACATGCGTTATACATGTTAAAAATTATACCCTATATAAATATTCTGCATTATGTTTTCAATTAATCTTTTTCCTAGAGCTCTAAATAACGCATCGGATTGAAGTAGTCAAAAAATATCAAGATTCATTTTACCCTCGTTTCGATTAACTATAAGCAATTTTTAAAAAAACGGCTGTTAGTATAATGCGGTAAATACGGTTCAGTCTTACTAAAAGGCACTCACAGCACAGATTTGCATATCATTATTTGTTCCAACGTTTATTACTACATAACTTTTGTTCATTATTTTTCACTAATAGGCATACACAGACAAAATTGTAATAATTCGCTTTTGTTTGTAATTATTCTCGTAAATATTGCAACATAAAACAAAGAATTTGTTGATTGGTGCAAATTAAAAAAAAACTTAATAATAATGGAACAATGAAAAAGGAAATTATTTTTCATTTCGAAAAAATAATTTGCATCAATAACCACATATGTTGACATCGTGTCAAATTATAAATGACTCGAAATAATATATAAGTTCAGGCCTAAGGAGTCCCCCACAACGGGAAACTTGTGCTAAAATGTATGACCTTAGACCTCACTCGTCAGACCCTCAGTCAGACAAACTTATCCCCCCTCGGGCAAATCCTGGTGCCCACTCAGTGCCACCCTCTAAATTATTGTCACAATTTAAACAGATGTCATCAGACATTTGTATCCTAGATCATTCATATATTCATATTCATATATATTTACATAGCGCCTTTCTTTGCAGATACGAAGCGCTTCTGTCCCTGATTCACATGCTTAAGTGTTGCTGCTGTATTCAGCGCAGAAGCAAGCAACCCCACCAGGTACCAACAACTTATACTCCTTGGTGGAGAGAAGCAATGCAGACTAAGTGCCTTGCTCAAGGACGCAAACGAAATGCACAGCGAGGGATTGAATCCCCGACCTCAAGGTTGTTGGGAAACCAAACCTTTCACACAGCGCCAAACCGCTTTTACTTTGTAATTACAAAATAGTAACTTCAGTATAGAGATACACTCCCACAAGTGGTAAATAAAGATAATTTAGTTAAGAAAACGTATTGTCGTCATCGTGATATGGACCCAAGATCTTCCATCATCACAGAAGGCGTATCACCTTATCAACGTTACTACCTTGTGCTTTAATTTTCACTCAATACCATGAGAAAGAAAAACCAAGAGCATAAGGGGACACATAGCCAAGATGTAATATTGGCTGTGTACCTGCTTTTTCCCCCTATTTTTAGGTGTAGTTTGACAAGAACTACTAACCATTTTCTTTAAAGAACTACCGGTATGAGTGGACAGCTTCAATCAACTGCTAGATATCGTGTCGTCATGATGGGAACGACATGGAAGCGTTTATTATGCTGAAACTATTAGCGAGTACGACTGTATACCAGTAACCACATTACAGAAACTGAAAAAGCCAATCGAACTCTTTCGATTGCTCTTGGGTAATGGACTTATAAGTCAATCAAACATTGATGTTCTTGTCGAGGTTGTTATTTTGTGCGAACAGAGCGGTGTAGAGTCGACAATCAAGAAATTGGTACTAACGTTTCCTGATTTAAATAAACTTGTAATATGTGACTTTTCGGATCATTGAAGAAATTTGCTTAAATTTCGTACAGTTATGAGCAAAGACCATAAATCTTTATGCATAGAAATTTTTATTCATAAAGATAGCATTGGTTATTTGTATAACCTTAATGTTAGTGAACTAACAGATTCTTGGTGTTATTTTTGTTCTTGGTAATATTGGAACTAGAAAACAGAAAAATACTAACGGCACACACAAATGAAAAAATTATTAATGCTTATGAAAAGTAAAATAATAGTAGCTGAAGCACTTCTAAAGCTATTGGTGTAAATATTTTTTTTAATCCAAATAATCATATAATTGAACTCAACTTTTACATTTGGAATTTAAGAAAAGAATTTACACCAATAGCTTATCTCCATTCCAAATAAATTTGTTTAAAAAAAATGCTAAATAATTTTACAATCATATACCATAATTCTGGTATTGCTCCATCCCGCTTGTGTAATGATATTGAAATGGTTTTGACCAGTATGTTGCCTGAAATATGCCCACTCACTTAAAGTTACTCTGTCATGAATGGCTTATTGAAAATCGCTGTAGCAAAATTTTGGAACAAAATTACTATAACAATTGAAAAGAGTCAGTTTTAGATTTTTCAAAATTGATTATAAGAAGAATTTTTCCTAATTATCGATTGAGCCTGGTTTTCATGAAAATCGCTACACGTTATCTGCCGACTGCTTTGGTGTCGCTGATTGAGCCATTGAATCAGGGAGTGTACACGATTGCGTCGTGGACAGCTACGCAATGCATGGATTGCAGTAAAATTGCTGTTTTGTTAGCCTTCTTAATTAATTGTGTAATCAATAAAAATGGTGACAATGTTAACCTAGAGTAGATTAATGATCAAGAGAAACAGAAATTGGTAGAACATTATTGATACACAAGCTTTCGTGCATGCAGTGTGAATGTAATGAACAATATTGTACTGAAAGATGTAAAAAATATGTGTGAAATAATGAAATTGACAGTGGTTTAGAGTTTATTCTAGTTGTATTTAATTGTTTAAGGCGGGCTGTAACTTGAGAGAAACATTCATTACAGCGGAGGGTGGTTAGCGATAGCTTTGATTATACAAGTAACGACAAGTATTTAAATAATTAAAAACTCGGGTGCAAAATGCATTTGCAATATTTTGTGTTTTAAATCTCATTACAATACCTGTATATATATTTTTGTATATTTATCAGTATCAGCTCTTTTGTGTATAGTATTATCAGTGTTATTTGTTTTAATGTATTTTTCCTTAATTCCAAGTTTTCAAATGCATTTTATATGGCTTGACTTGTTCTAATAAATTATTATAAATATATGTTTTATAGTATTATAGTATTATATAAGTTTATATAATATATAAACTTTATATCCCTGAATAAAGCAGAAAACAAAGGAACTTACGTTTTGAGCGTTTGACTATCACTGTAATAGTCTTCTTACAGTCAGCTAATTAATATGCCTTGCACTACAACAACCCTGTCTCTTATACACATCTAGATGTGCTTGCTTTAAAGGTGTTGTTCTATATGTTTGGAAGATAAGGTCTTCCACCATCTCCATTCAACATTGGGCTGTTGGCCTGTTGTGATGGCTTCCTTGACTTCTCTCTTAAACCAATTGGTTCCACGGTTAGAAGTTTAGTCTCATCAAAATTAACGCTGTGATCCGGAAACTCAATGTTAATATTGTTTTAGACTACCGACGAATCTAGTACTAGTATTTCTTAAAAGATTCCATTTTGTTAGTTCCATATACTTAAGACGAAAACGTATTAAGTTGATCCTTGAATTATTATAGTGTTGTTTTCACTTTAAGAATATTTAGTTTATTGTATTTTTTATTGAATAATAGGTAAATATATTATTACGTAGGCCTATGCGTTTAGGTTTGTTTATAACAATTGTGTGGTTATTTTAAACATGTAATTATTTGGGTTTGTATTGTTTTTTCTAATTAAAAGATAATGGTATTGTTCAAACATTCTGTGTTAATAACATGACTACGTTAAGCCTGTATTTAATAATAATAATAATAATAGTAATAATAATAATAATAATAATAATAATAATAATAATAATAATAATAATAATAATGATAATGATAATGATAATGATGATGATGATGATGATGATGACGATGACGATGATGATGATGATAATGATGATATCTATACTGTGGCACAGTGTTTTCATTGCAATGGCTACAGTGTTTTCATTGCAATGGCTACAGTGTTTTCATTGCAATGGCTACAAAAAGTTCGGTTGAGATTTTCTTCCACCAAATTGACAAAGAGTACGTACCGTTATGAGTTATAAAACAAAATAAAGATCAATTCCATTTTATTTGAATTTTCTAATAATTAAATTTAAATTTAAATTTAAAATTAAATGAGAAAAGAAAGGGGTCATTAGACTCGAATCACACCATTCACTTTTTGCAACAATGGAGCACGATTTTAAAAAGTTCTAAAATCGCACTCATCGTAGTTATTCGTACTCAAAAAAGAAGTTTTAACGCAGGTTGCCTGTTCCAAGTGAACCTACAGGCAAGAAGACATAATCATTAGAGCTACGTACACACTAAGCTACAGACAAGAAGACGCAATCATTAGAGCTACGTACACACTAAGCTACAAGCAAAAGGACAGTCATTAGAGCTACGTACACACTAAGCTACAAGCAAAAGAACAATCATTAGAGCTGCGTCGCAACAAGCTTGTGACAAATATATGTGATTTGCCCATATATGAGTATTCCTGGATTTCTTATTATTTTGTGCGCATATTGCGTCCCATAAGATAACAAGGCAGAACAGCCGGATGTGTACTAGCTGCTAACCTATATGCTTATAACAAGGAGGTATACAATTTTTTATACCTCCTTGCTTATAAATTCGTAAGTTATCACAAATATTAGGCCTACTATGACTCCGTTTCATTCATTTATTATTCGTCTTCGGACAAATTTGACATTGGAAGACTCCGTGAGTTACTGCGATTATTTGAATTTTAATGTTTTTTATTGTTGTAAAAAGTTAATTAAGTTAACTTAGGCCTAGGTGTAGGCCCACGATGAGAAGCGATGATCGTGTTGCGGTGAGGGGACGACGTGGGCATGGGATGAAGAAGTATGGTGCGCCTCTAATGACTAATTATTGAGGCGATGTTTTGATTTTCGCAACATTGAACCGTTGATTTGTTATCATCGTAGGCCATAATATTAACGTTACAGCAAAGAATTTTAGCATTGCTTATTTGCTTTTATAATATTATATAATATAATTTATAACAGTTGTCCATTTGTTTTGTTGTAGAATTTACCATCATATCAGATTGATTTTACCTCAAGACCCTCATTTACAATAACTTTAAAAATAACGTTAAAAATAATTCCACATTTGAATTGCTTAATTTACATTTAAGTAAGCCTAAGTATTAACTTGCACTTAAACATTGGAAAGGAAAAATAGTCAATCAATTAAAAAATTTGAAAGGTCTAAAAAATCATTAAAAAAATGTCGATTTGTATATTGTGGGAGTATGTAGCAAGGACAGTATAAGTAGCAGTAACAGTTATAAGTCCTTGTCTGTAGGGAGGCTTTCTTGACATTTATAATAGGCCTATATTATATTTAAACTTGCGGTACACCACTTAGATAGTTATGAAACGAACTGTTGTTTTTTGTTGAAAATGTCTGCATCTTTGTTATTTTGTAGAAGCGCAAGAAAGTTGTTTTTTTATGTGTGTGCTACCATGAACACCCAATTATTTTTCTTGGACCCCTAAGTGGTCCGCATACACCAAATTGGGAAGCAATGATCTAAAAACTAAGAATAATATTATTTAATAACCTATGAGGGATTGACAATAAGTGCTGACATTAGTGTCATATTAGGATCATAACACAGATTATGTATTCTTTACTTTAAAGCTTTTAATTCTGTGGGTGAAAGGTCACTTGATAAAATTCTGTGTATGTTTAAACAGATTTGATTTTTACAAAACTGCTGTTCCTCATCTCAATTAATTTATTTATAGTACTCCCTCTAGACCATTGTACGTTAACTATGTTTTTAGCCGTGATTGTGCAATATTCGCAAAAAAGACGAAACGTTTGACAAACATCATGTGATTTAGGGTCTTCGTTATATCTAAGTTCAACAGTACTTCAAATGGATGAACTTAAGTTATAATAAGCGTAG